AGCAGGTCCTCATGAAGCCCGTCTGTCTGCCTAATGTATGCAAGGCTTTGGGGAGGGCACCTGGTCTAGCTCAGCTCTTGTTTCTCCTACTCCCACTCCACTCTGGGCTGGAGGAACTGTCTGACGCCTGTCTACCCAGAAAGGGAGGCCTACCCAGATGTCTTTTACTCTCAGTTTTCCCAGGCTTGTTGTACCTACTTTGGTGCAGACTCCCTTTTTCAGACTTCCGTGATGTCAGTAACAAATAAACGCTCGGCTGCTAACCAAAAGGTTGGCGGTTAGAACCCATCCAGTGGCTCCACGGAACAAAAACCTGGTGATCTGCTCTGGTGAAGATCATAGCCTAGAATACACATGAAGAATGTGCTTCTTTGTTCAATCAAATATATGAGACCAAATGGGCAACTCCTGTCCAAAAGCAGAATGAGAAGGCAAGAAGGGACAGGAACTGGATGAATGGACATAGGGAACCCAGGGTGGAAAGGGAGAGCTTGCTGTCACATTGTGGGGGTTGCAACCAATGTCACAAATCAATATGTGTATAAATTTTTGAAGGAGAAATTACCTTGAGCTGTAAACTTTCACCTAAAGCACACACGCGCATGCAAAAACCCCATGGGGCAGTTCTGCTCTGTCAATAGAGTTGCTAGGAGCCACGATCAACTCGACAGCACTAACAACAAAAGCAAAGCGATGTCTAAATTTCCTTTGAATGTTTTTCTAACTTCCAGTCTGGGGACTTTTATTTAGCCAGAAAGACAGTAGAGGGAAGGCATGGTGAGCAGAACAGCTTAGTTCTTATTATCAGGTCGTCTCTAAAATCCATGATCAAACTTATGGATGACTTTTGAAACTCAAAAGCCACTTATCAGCTCCCATGTCCTTTTTTTCTGCCTCTTTATGAGGCAATGACCCACCTCAAGATCTAGCTCCTCCCAAAGGGGAGGGGGTCAAGAGGCAAAAGGGAGTAATAGCAAGGGGGGAATCTATAAAATTTTCTCTTGGCACAATTTTTTCTCTTGTTAATTTTTTTGTCAATTGTCTCTTAACAAAATAGCTTTTTATTTTTTTAAGTTCTTACATATATTGAGCACTGTGCCAACCTTTTTTTGGAATGAAAATTAACACTTGGGCCTTTAGTTTTAATTATTACTAAGGACAAAACGTTAAAGAAGCCAATTTTCAGTCATGCCAAGGGTCACAACTTATCAATACAAACATATATAATTTTCTGGTTTTTTTGTACACGAGTAACTTCTTTCCAAAGATACCCACTATGCTAACATTTTACATATGTTATTTCATTTAATCTGAAACTCTACAAGGGTGGTAAAATCTGAGGCCCAAAGAGTTTAAGCAACTTGCCTAAGGTTGCGTCGCTGTGTATCTGGGATTTGGATTTCTTTGTTTATTCATTCATTTACTCGTTCATCAAATGTTATTCATCCCTATTATGGACCGGGTACTCTACTAGGTGCTAGGGATAAAGCAGTGAACAAGGCAGGTGAGATCTCTGTCCCCATGGAGCTGAGATTCTACTGGGGGAGATAGAAAACGTGAAAGTGGGTAAATAACATAATTTTCCAACAGTTATAAATACTACGAGAAAAATAAAAAGCACCTAAACCAAGGCATTTTGTCATTCACTCTGCCATAATCCCCTTCCCTATACTCTACTCATTAGACTTAATGATGTGTTTGAAGCACATGTGTGTGGCATATGCTGTGACCTGAGTTGGACATGTAGGAATTTCCCTAAGCAGTTATTTCAGATTCACATCCTGTCAGACAAGCTTATAATAGGTTGTTGATACCCCTTGCTGTCGAGTCAATTCCGACTCATAGTGACCCTGCAGGACAGAGTAGAACTGCCCCATAGGGTTTCCAAGGAGCAGCTGGTGGATTCAAACTGCCGAGCTTTTGGTTAGCAGCCAAACGCTTAACCACTGCATCACCAGGGCTCCAGGTTGTTGATAGGCTAGATCTTTTCCTCTCTTCCTTTCTTTCTTTTTCTCTTTCTCTTATCTCCCGTCTCCCCTTCTTTCTCTTACTAGTTTATTCATTCATTCATTCATTCAATAGAAGTTCAGAGGTGCCTAATATGATCCGGGCACTGCATTCTGTACTGGGGTCACTAAGACAACTGAGAAATGGTTCCTGCCCTCACAGAATTTACATTCTAGTGGTCCCTGAAATACAAGTAAACGAGGACATAGCATTTCAAACACTGTCACAATGTAGCATCAGCCAGCTTATTGGAGACAAGGAAGAGACTCTTCATTCCACAGCAGCTGGAAGCTCCAGGTCCCAGAGCCAACTGAACTGTTGATGCTGAGGGCATCTCCTTCTGAAACCCTCTCTAGCTCCTTAGTCCCTCAACTTTGGTAGGCAAATCTCCTCTTTCTTGGATTCTCAAGAGTCCTTGAAACTCTTTATGAATATGTGAATAGTATGAAAGAGACTTTGCATACAATCATCTGATTTGAGGGTTATCTGTGGAACATATTATCTCCAAGTGACTTCCCTCTGTCATTGAGCGAATACCTGCCTGCCCCTTGATATCACCGGTTGTGTGTGCAGAAAATGTTCATTAATATTAGTCGAAACATATATTGTAGGTTAATATTGTGTGACCCAAAGGTAGAAAAACACTTGAAATTATCTATAGGTATCTGCCTTTTGAGGAGCCCCAGTGGTACAGTAGTTAGTTAAGAGCTTGGCTGCTAACCAGAAGGTCAGCAGTTCAAATCCACCAGCCACTCCTTGGAAACCAAACCCTATAGGGCAGTTCTACTCTCTCCTATAGGGTTGATATGAGTCGGAATCAACTTGATGGCAGTGGGTTTGGGTTTGGTTTTGGTATCTGCCTTTTACACAATTTTTTTCATTAGTATTTATTACGAAGAAGAATTCAATACCTTAGGTTAAAAAAATCATTTCAAAACACTGTGGTACAATGATTTTGAGATTTTTCAAAAGGCTCTATCCTCTTTACAAAGCCATTTAGTATGCAACTGATAATTTTTAATGTACACAATGGATGCGATATCTTAATTGTTTTAGGGAAAACGATTTAGGGACAATACCTGGCTAATGGAATTTCCTAAACAATATCCAAGACAACTAATAAACATTTTATAACTTCTTGCACCTTAAAGTGTAAAAAATGCACCATTGTATAAAACTAGTTGGAAAACCAGTCACAGAAAAGCTTGGGTAATTGTTTTTATTTAGTTTATCCATGCATTCAATAAAATAAACATATTCTGAATCTATTACATACCTCTAGGGAAAATGAGGAATATAAAAAGTCATACATGTCAAAGTCCCCATCCTCAGTTATTACCTAGAAAGAGATATAAGACCT